TAGTTTTCAGGCAGTTGCATAGGATAGGCTGAGGAAGTTGGGTCAGGGTGACCTGGAGACCCGAAAATCCGGAAAAACAAATCAACCAGATTCACGGCAACTGGGTCGGTTCGGCCCTGCCAATAAAATTAGGATTAATTACCCATGAGTCAGGAATTGTACTCCATTTAGTCTCATAATTTTTTATTTTGTGTAGACCCAAAATTTTAAGATTTTTTTTTTCTTTCCTCTTTCTCTTTTTGATATACATTTATCGGCGACCACATCAATTGGATTCATCAATAACCACAAACTCCTTACTTTGATCTCATTAACAGCGAAGGAGACGAGTTTCTGATAGCATTCTTGACTTAGATCTACTTAAATTTGACCAAGATTACAAGACAAGACTTACAGAATGTTTGGATGTAGAGTAATCTGAGCAAATCTACATCACATCCGGCCAAATCCAAACCAAAAACATTGCCATAATACAATCCTCTATTTTTGTCTCTCTTTCAATCTCTTAGTTTTTTCTTTTCTTTTCTTTTCTTTTTCTTTCCACTACGCACTTCTCTTTTATTATTTTAATGGAGAAAATTTTCAGATTCTGAATGAATATTTTTTGAGTTTTAGTTACAAACGATGAAAACTGAAAAAATTTACAATTTTGAAGATATATTTATGCTTTTCTATATGATTTTTAGCCCTTTTTTTCACTTAATTAAAACAATAACAAACATTTTAAAAATATTAACAAACAGAAAAGTTACAAACCTCAGAAACTACTGATATGTGATCTCCACCATCGCTGCGATGTGAAATTGTGTTTTAATATATTATTGTTAGACTTATTTATTTTGATAATTTTTTTAATTATATTTTAATTTATTTGGAAGAAAAAAATAGAATCAAAATTTATTTTGATGATTTATTTAAAAGAGAAAAATAGAATCAAAATTTATTTTAATGATTTATTTGAAAGAGAAAAATAGAATCAACATTTATTTTGGTGATTTATTTAATTATGTTTTAATTTATTTAAAAGAGAAAAATAGAATTAAAATTTCTTTTGCCCAATTATTTCTCACCTAAACCTTTATCCTAAATGTTGTTAGAATGTATTTAATATTTGATTAAATCAATAGTTCAAACAACCCAAAAATAGAGGTTCAAACAGCCCAACACAGCAGCAGTTCAAAAGGTTCAAAAGGTTCAAGTGGAAGATATTCAAATTAGTAATGATGGAGTTATAACGGCTATAAACGGTTATAAATTCAAATGAATACAATGGTTATAAGTTTCATTATATATACCAAAACTTCTAATGTAAACAAGTTACAAAAAATCAGAAAATATTCTTTGATCTATAATCACTCACATCTATTTTCTGAAAAATTCTCTGAGAAGTGTTCTTCAATTTTTGTTTACATCCTCTTTCAGAAACTATACACTGAGAAGTAAAACTTTAAGCCCATCTTCCCTGTGTGAGGTTTACAAAAAAATCAGAGCTTCATTTTTATATCTATCTTTGAGAGATAATTCTTGTAACTTTCTATGAAAGCAAAAACACATTTTTTTTAACCTTGTAAGAGTGTAGTACACTCAGTGTTCTTGACTTAGAAAGTCTGTGTAAAATCCATAAAGGATTGCTCCATTTGTAAAGAGGTTGCTAGCACCCCCGTGAAGCTAGAGCATAGTGGAAAATCTCAAGTGAAGCTTGAGGAGTGGACCTAGGCTGAGTTGAAGCCGAACCACTATAAATTTGTTTGTCTCTCTCCCTTATCTCTTTATTTTATTTAAATTGCCATAACTATATTTCACATTTTCACTGTGCTAAAATCATTAACTGACATAGATGTTAGAACACTTGTTTTAATTATTTATATTTCATTAATCATATTTATCTATTGTGCTAGTCATAATATTTATTAGTGTATTATTATTTTTATTTGTAAAAATCTAATTCACCCCCCTCTTATGTTGTCTTTTGGGTAACATAATGCAAATGAGCAAACTGATAATTTTTGCAGTTTTAAAACTGAAAATTTATGTAGTTTGATGAGAAATAAATTCAAACTCTAAATTTTTATAATTTTGTAAACTGAAAATTATGTTCTCCGTATGGTAGATAATTTTTTCATGTTTTTTAGTGTTGAGAAAGATGTTAAATTTTATTATGTTTTCGCTTTAATTTCTCCCTTTCTTCTTCTTCTTCTTTTTTTTTTCCAGCGATGTTCTGGACATTTCGACAAATTTATGGTGATGTTAAAAAGAAATTTAAAAAATTATGGTGAACATTTTTATTATGTCCTTTTAAATTTTAAAAAAAAATAAAAAAATAAGATTTTTTTGTAACAATTAAAAATATGTAGGATTAATTGGTACAAGTATTTTATTTTGAGACTACATGAGTTTTGAACTGTGCAAAGAGGACCTACAGGTCAGTGCCCCATAAAATTATATTCAAATTTGGGTCTAAGAAATTACCAATTCTACAGCCTTTTATTTGCACATTACACATTAAATTTCAAGTTTGATCATGGTAACAAAATAATTTTTAATTTTATTAATTTAATCTCTAAATTTTTTATTTGTTTTCAACTGAACCATTTACTTATTTCCGTTAATTAAAATTGATGAAAAAATTGTGTAAATTGACAAAATTAAAAATTAAAAATTAAAAAAATATTTTATTACAATGATCAAACCTTGAGATTTTTTTTTCAATTCCCGATAATATTTGTAGTGTGCAAGCGAAAAGAATAACTCATCAACTTCCTTTTTCTCATCTGTTTTCAAGATAATCATTGAGTAGTTTTAAAATATCATATTATCTATCTAATATTCCAAACCAATGAGTAGAAAAATTTTGTTAATAGACATACTTTTATATGGTATTTGAAAAATAAATTATGACGAACTTAGTATGTTATAGTTTCTCATTAAACAAAATATCATCTAATGTAAACAAAGTCACTTTTCCTCTTTTCTGCTCTCAACTTTCTTTTCCCCATCTCTTTTCAAGGTATTTATTGAGTAGTTCTAGAACACTATATTACTTACATGATACTCTAAACCAATCATATAATGAAAATTTTTATGGATGGATATGTTAGCTCACTTTTGTTTGATAGTTAAAAAACAAATAATGACTAACTTAGTACATTACAGTTTCTCATTATCCAAAACACCATGTAGACAGTGTCACTTACCTACTCTCACATCCTTATTCCCTTTTTCAAATCACCTGAAGTACCCACACCACCGCAAATTGGTCACTACCAACACTCCCACCACTACTATCTTATTTGGTGTAGTCTATTTGTACTTATAACTTTTTTTTAATTGAAGAGTTTGTGTCAAATTATTTGGTACAATAAAAGCGGCTTAAGCCTATTTAAAGCCCAAGGAAAAAAATCGAAAGTATTGTGATCATTGTTGTGGTCAGTGATAATAATTATGGTAGTGAAAGCATCCTCTATATTTGAACAGTGAAATTTCATTATATAGAGACATTTTTATTTTTATATAACCAATAGATTTTGAATTTTTTTTTCAATCTGCTTCATATGCTTCATAATTAATTTTATGACTTTTGGAGTGGATCGATTTTTTCTTTTTTTCTTTTTTCTTTTTTTTTTGGTCAATTTTGGGTGTTGTTTATTTGCTTTTTGTATTTGAAATCATAACAAAATTAAAAATTAAAAGTGCTATGATTATTGTGATGGTTAGTAATGGTTGTGCGGGCTATATTGTATTCAAGGTTATTGAAAACATTTTTATATTTGAATAGTGACATTTTAAACTCTAACACACTATATAGAATTTTTATTTTAATCTAATTGATGAAATTGAAGTTTGAAAACTATTTAATTTTTATATTTAAAATCATTAAAAAATTGACATGAAAAAAAAATAGTGATAATTGTGGTAGTTAATGATAGTGGTGGTTGAATTTCACTAAGTTAACATTAATATTTTGAGATTGTATTAACTTTACTTTTTTCTTTTTTCCTTTTTTCTTTTTCTTTTTTTGAACTAGAAAAAAGGATGTTCTGAGACCGTTTATTTTATTTTATTTTATTTTTTTAATTTCTTAGATAACTTAGACCTTGTTGGATATATCTAGATGAGATGATTATAAAAGGAATAAGCTCTTCCCTGTAACTCATCATTCCACTCCTCTCCATACCCTTTTTGTGACTCTTAATCTGAGCCCACACAGATGATCTAAACTTTCCATCTAATAGGTCTCACAATAAAGGTTATTCATAAAATAAAATAATAAAAAAAAATCAACTTTATCGGACAACTATAACCACATGAACAAATCACATTTTGTTTTAGTAAATGAGAAATGCTTTTCGCACATAAGATGTGTTGGTCTTTGATGAGGCAAAGTTTGTAATTATCCTATTCACAATAAAATTATTAGGTAAGGCTAGCCAAATGACCATTTAAAATAAGCATAAAATAAATAGATAAATTTATCTCTAATCATTTTTAAGTATGTGCTCTATTATTTCAGGGGAGGGAAAAAATAATTTTGAGCAGTCATTCTTGCAAGAAACATAAAATGGAAATTGTTACATTTTGTTTGCACAACCCTCATATCAAAATTTTCACCTTTTCATGTGACTCCTATCTCATGTGATATGGTTTTTTTCTAAATATAAAGCGTGTTACATATATAAATATATGATATTTACAAAGTTGTTATTTATTACTGAAATAATTCACCTTAACATTTCACCTCCTATGCTACTCCCATGTTATTGCTCAGCACTTGTGTTATGTTATGCCTACAATAACCAATGCCTTCTGTACTTCCATTAATGACATATACATCTCCAAATACATATATACAATAAGCACACAGTAGGGGTGGTGTTAGTTAATATTTCTAGGTCATGTGTATATAGGGAGTCCTTTTGTGTTAATTTACCACATTGAAAGCGAACAAAAGATGGGAAGCAAGAATAGGTGCTCATAAGAGGAGCGATGAGCTTTGTCTCAACATACTTACCCAGACAGGTCAATGGGTGATGAAGAAAGCCTTTGGACTACATTAGTAACCACGATTGCACTTTGTAAGGGTGCTTGCCTAAGGTCTACCCGAGTTTCCCAAGCTTATGTCATAATTTGTGATAGTGGCGATTTGTGATTGTGCTGCTCTTGTCCTATTCTAAATCCCAACTCATTTTTGTGTTGTTAGTCTTGTTGCTTTTTTACTTGAAAATTTTGTCTTTGAAACTAGAAATACAGGCCCAACAAAACCAAAAAGTTTATACAAAGCCATCTGGGATAGAGGATAACAATTTTGGAAGGAATGGAAGCAAACTTTTCTGAATTTTTCAAAAATTTAAAAAATCTCATACTTGACCATTATGCAATATGTGAAGCCAAATTCAGTGGTTGGGATTGGGATCCTAATGCTTAAACTAAACGGATGAAGAATTGAAAATTAATACAATTTTGTGAAGTGAACAAGTTGAGGAATAGGTCTCATTTCTCGGAGTGATCTGAAAAACAGGACCATGAACTACCTTCTTTTCTTTTTTTTTTTTGCAATTAAAATTTCTAAGTGAATCACTTTTTGCTAAAAAAATCAATTTATTTATTGATTTTTTTGATATACCATGAGATCACATTGCATAAAAAATCAATAAATAAATTGATTTTTTTGATAGACCATGAGATCACATTGCATAGGAAAACATCTTCAAAGCTGAAATGTCAAAATATAATATGCCATCTGCCTTTTTTTGTTGTTGTGGGTTGCACTGTCTTAATTCTCAAACTTAATGGTTGATGCAAACAAATGCCCACCCCCTTTCTATGCGTTCCACAGCTTCCCAAACAAGGTAACTAATATAACAAAAGAAATAAATAAATATAGAAATGAAGGTATCCAACTCAAAATCAGCAAAACATCTCTCTTATATTTGCATGTTAAATTCCCACATACCAAGTGCTTATTTTAAAACCTTGAAACAAACATATCATTGTCTGTTTGGATGTTTTTACTTATTAGCAGAAATTAGTTGAGATTTGCATGAAATCCCACATCGAACAAACACGAGAGAGAAGAGGCTAGCATGAGTGTATAGATGAGGAGCAGGTAGCATCATAAAACATACTTACCTGGATGGGGTCAATGGGTGATCAAGAAGACCCATGGCCTAGGTTAGTGACCTCCATTGCACTTTGGAGGGGTGCTTGCCTAAGGTCTACCCAAGTGGTGGAGCCTACGTCATAATTTGTGGTAGTGGGGGCCTGCGTTCGCGCGGCCCCTAACCTGAAAATTGCTCCAAATTTTTGTTGTGGTTGATTTCTAGCATAACAGGGGGTTAATCTCTTATGACCTTTGTAGTCTTGATGGTGAGAAAGTTTTGTATTTTGCCTCCTAAAATAATAATTCTAATTTTATTTCTAAACCTGTAGGCAAATTAAAAAGCCACGGGCATGCGTTTTATTCTCAATAGAATGATATGTATTAGAGAGATATATAACCACACACATCATTAGACGGAATGATATAAGGTGAATCATTCAAATTTTATGGATCTCCTCGTGAGTCATGCATGGGTCATGCTACTATTGACTCCCAACCTAGGTCTAAACCCAACCCAATTTCCAACAACAAAAATGTTTGAGACCTCTAAATGAGGAGTTCTATAGGTGGGCCTCACCTTATGTTTTGATGTTTTAGTTTGTGATGTTGCATTTTTTTTTTTTATTTATTTTTTTAATGTATTGTCACATCATTAGAGTTGGTATTAGAGTTTCAACTCTAGTGCTCTCTATCATCACTCTTCTAACAAAACCATTTAAAGTGACAAAAATTATTTGCAAATTTTGGCCAGTTTTCAATATCAAAAGGCCTTATTTCATCAAAGCAGTTCCACCTTTTCTTGTTTCATCAGTTCTATTGTTATGAACCACTATTTTCATTAACAACTCTACTGGGCAGTAGTATGAATAAAAGAGAGAGTTGTTTTGTTATCTAATAATTTTATTTGAACGCCTAAACTAATGGGTGTTTTGAAAAGTTGGTAAAAAGCTAGCTTGTTGGCTTTTTTGGTGGCTTTTTTGTGGCTTTTTTGGGAGAAGTTGGTAAAAAGCCAAAAAGCCAATTTTTTACCAACTTTCCAAATTACCCCTTAATCATCTATCCAGCATTTCGACCGAAGATTGGAGAGAGGTAACTGGGGCGCAGAATCCTCAGTTGAAAATTCTTATGTTACTCTCTGTTTCAACTATGAGAACCCATATTTAATTATTTTTAGGATATGAATAATAAATTAATTTTATCTAAAACCTATTTAATAAATGTATTAATGTATAAATTAATTAGAAACTATCCCAATTTAGTCGCTAACAAAAATATTCTTAAGAATAATAATTTTGTAGGTATTCAATGATTTTCGTTTTGTAACTATTTTTGTAACTCAATAATTACCCTTATGGTGTGTTTGGTTGGGAAATTTGGAAAGAGAAATAGAAAAGATGTGTGAAATTAGTGAATTTTAGATATATTTTATTCACATTTCACCTACCTTTTTCATTTCTCTTTCCAAATCTCTCCTCAAATCCTTCAACCAAACAGAGCATAACTAAATATCTTAGTTGAAAACTTCATCTAATTGATTTTTAAGGAACTAAAACACATACACATTTATACAAATTTATTATTACAAAAATAATAATAATTGCATTAGGTGCCTTTGCATGCCAAGCCTATAGGATAGGTTATGCTCTTGATTTTTGAGTGACTTGATATCAATCACAATTATGAGAAGAGCAAAGGGTTAGATATGTTTTATGAGTCTATTTATGCAGATTCTAATTCTTAACTAATCGGAGAGAGTGAAAGCTAAGATTTAAAAGAAAAAAATTCGGAGCTTTAGGGAAAAAAAAATTCTTTTGATAGCAAAGTTAAGAGTTGGGAGAGAAGAAGATGAGAAGGAGAATGGTTAGAATCTTCCTACTATTTCACGACCCCATTTTGACTTCATTGCTAAGTAAGAAAACCCTCAAAACCTTTTCATTCTTTTTCTTCAATTTCAGAATATATTCAAATACTAATAAGCCTTAAAAAAAATCTTGATAGAGCTTTGTTTGTAATTACATGTGAATTTGTGAAATATATATTAGATGTTTGAAAATTATTATATATTGCTAAATTTAAAATCATGATATAATCTTGAATTTAGGCTTGCTTGTGCAATTTGTGATATTTAATAGATGATTTAAGATTTTATTTGATTTGATCATATGATTCTTAAATCTGCCAAAAGTTTGTACGAATATATAGACAATTTTATACTCAAAATTTCAATATGGTTTCTTCTACAAAGTTGGTAAGAATGATGTCTAGATCATCCAATTATTCTATTTTTGTACGAATTCAAATGGAATTTTAATTCAATATGGATTTTTAGACAGATTATGCTTCATGTTTGAAAAATTACTAAAAATTCTATATTAGACCAAATCTAGTATTTTCTGAGTAAAAAATTAAATTTGAGAAGTATAGTTTCATCCTCAATTTTTATATTATGGATTTGATTTGTGAATTTCAGTGTGGAATTATTTTAAGAAAATGTGACGAATTTGTGTTATGTAGCTTTTTGTAATTTTATAGAATTATTTATAATTCATTTTCAGGAAATTATTTTTGAAAAATGACATAATATGTTTGCTGAACATTCCTGAAAATTATATGAATTTTAGAATTGTCTAAATAATTTATTTGTAATTTTAACTACGAAATTTAAGTTCTGAAAATTTTGGGCAGAATATTAAAATAATCACGATTACCATTTCAATTATTTATTAGAATTAAAAATAATTTTTGTTCTAATTTACTTAATTGAATCTTGTAAATTAGTAATGCATGTGTAATGTTGTGATTTATTTTTGTATTTAAAATTATTATTTCACTTGATGGCTTGATTTACCTGTTTATAATAATATGTACATTGATTGATTATTGTAGAACATAACTGTAAATATTTTCTCTTGAAAATTGTAGTAAAATGGTATAACATTGATGATGACCTAAATTTGTAATTATTAGTAATTATTATGAAAATTAACTAAAATGATCAACGGGGTGTACGAAATTAAAGGTTGATAGTTAATATCAGTTGTTCAGGATGAGTCCTGATTTTATGTAATTCTTGTCCAAAACCCTAAGATGGCACGAGACATATTTGAACCCTTATCAGTATTCGGTTTTAGAATAAGGGTGGATGTGTGGGTGGCACATAGGGAGGATACGTACCCCTGATAAACTGTTCTCTTGGGGCAAATCACGAAAACCACTACTTGGGTATGTAACTCTGGGCATGACCGTCCTTGGTAGTCACAGTTTGTAACACTTAATTATTTAACCAAGGGGAGTTTTAAATTAACCATGAGCCATAGCTTAGTGGTTGGTAAGTTAATATCTTTGGTGAGATTTTGAGTGTCACCTAATTTATTAAACTTGTTGAAATTATTTTAATATTTGTAAGTTATATGTTTGCAATTATATTGTTATATCATGCTTATAATCTCATTATTTTTCTCGTAAAAAGAAAAGTAGGTTTGTTGTGTTTTCTTTCTGTGCTGAAAAACTCACATATATTTTTGTTACCCTTGCATTTTATGCCAAATTTTGACCCCAAAAAAAAAAGGAATGGAAGTTGAAAATGGGGTTGATGGTAACGTAGAACTTTGGCTGACTTGAAACCATGATTAGAGTCAAATAAATTTTATAATCTTATATATTAACAATTAAGGACTTTGTGATTTCATTTAATGTTGTATTTGAACATTTTAAGTTTTTTTTTTATTTATTTATTTAGTGTTGTTTGAACCTTTGGTCATGTATGAGAGTTACAATTTCTAAATAAAATGTTAAGTTTTTAATTTAATAAGTTATTTTATTTATTTAATTTCTCTTGATATTTCAAAATTTTGAGACATTACATCAACATAGTGTTTAATTATACCTTAAGCATTATGTCTGAATATTCTTATATGATCTATTGATTATGACTTATATATAATTTGAGACGAGGAGAGAAAAGATCCATAACTAAAAATTGGTATTTAAATTGGCTCTTTGTGCTTAGGCTTGACAATCATTACTTCATTGGTATACATTGGGATTGAAAAAGGATCGTCACA